CAGAACACCACAGAGCCATAAGTAACGCGTTATCATTCTTCTCAGTATGGTCTTCAGAGGAGCACCACCCTGCCACTTGGTCCGAGGGACACAACTTAGCGCTCCTCCTGCTCCTCCCGTGGGTCCTTCTCTTCCAAACTCACGCTCTATTTTCCTGTAAAACAGGCACAGTTTTCTCACCTAAGTATGTCTCTCTAAGGAACGCTTTTTGCACTTTTGTATGTTTTTGAGCTTTATTAAGAGGATGCCTGCTGAAGGCTGTGTGGGCTGTTGCATTTTTGGAGTTTCAGTATAAAGCTCCTGTGAATATTCATGTACCGGTGTGTATGTTCAAGTGTCTGTTTTTATTTCTCTGGAGAAATGCCCAAGAATGGGTAGCTGCGCATTGAATTTGTTAAGAAAATTTTTGCAAGGTTACTTTTTCAGAGTTGCTGTGTGTTCATTACAGTCCCATCAGCAAGTATGAGTGAGTGATCCAGGTTTGTGTTTACACCTTCACCAACATTTAGTGTTGTCACGATATTTTTGTTTTAGCTGTTGATGTTTTTTTTTTATTTTTTAAATTTTTTATGTTTTTTTTTTTTGCATAAGAAATCTTGGATTTAGGTCATAGTTGTGTATGGTAAGTGGTTTCGCCAGAGACAAAGTGGGGAGCAGAACAGGCAGGTCGATGAAGTCCACTGCTGAGGGGAGCAGCGGGCGGGGTCATGAGAGGTCTGCTGCGCCATGTGGTCACCTCCGGAGCGGGGATCGAACTCATGCTGAAGTGGCTTTAGCTTCTTAGTGCTGTGCTTTAACCCTCTGTGCCACCAGGGAGAGCCCTTAAGATTTATTTTTATTATGCATACAAGAACTGGGGTGTAGGTCAGAGGTAAAGGGGTGAGAGGATTCACCAGAGACAGTGGGGAGCAGAGCAGGCAGATTGACTGAAGAACACTGTGGAGGGGAGTAGCAGGGCATCTGTTGTGCCATGTGGGTCAGCTCCCTGGTAAGGGATCGAACTCGTGCTGCAGTGGCTTCATAATGCTGTGCTTTAACCCATTGCGCCACCAGGGAGGGCCCGAAATACCTCTTTTAAATGCACCCCAGTCTGCTTTGAAAGACAAACTCTCAGATCTCTTTATGTATGTTATCCCCATTACTTTTGTCCTAAACATCAGAAGTTTAAACCAAGAGCCACCTTAGAGAGAGTTGTTTTATTTTAGTGACTCATACCTTTTTCTTCTGACCTCCACATGGTATTCATGTGAGGGCCCACTTGCACAGACATCCCTCACGCTAACTAGCAAGGACCCTTGCCTGCACCCCATCCCGCCCGCACCCCCCCCCCCAGGTGAGTTGAAAGTGGTAGGGTGACAGGGAGAAAGAACCTGGCTTGTTCTTTAATGTTCTGCCACAAACTTTCTTCTTTATTGCTACTTGGTGACATGCTAGACCATCAGTTGTGACACATCCATGTGTTTTGGTCTCTGACTGGACAACCAGAGACTTACTCCCGCGCTTTCCTCCTCCAGCTGAGAACACCGAGAACACTGGACACTGGCGGTCACAGCACCCGGGCCTTGCCCGGTGCAGTCCTTTTCCGGCCATGCATAGTTGCCCGATTCATTCAGGTTTATAGTTGCTGACAGAACACCACAGAGCCATAAGTGACGCGTTATCATTCTTCTCAGTATGGTCTTCAAGGAGCACCACCCTGCCACTTGGTCCGAGGGACACAACTTAGCGCTCCTCCTGTTCCTCCCGTGGGTCCTTCTCTTCCAAACTCACGCTCTATTT